ATGGAGTCAGCTTCCCGGCCAGTCAGGAAACCGGGCAGCGTCCAATGTCTCGCCGCCCGGCTCCATCATTGGTTGGGAAGGTGGCCAATCAGGAAGCCGGGCAGCGAGTCATTACCCACCCCCCAGCATCCTGATTGGCCAGAAAGCCGTCTCCATGCTTCCTCATCACCTCGTGACGAGGAAGCATGGAGACGGCTTCCCGGCTAATCATTTCATGTGGCCCGGCTTCCTAAATGGGATGTCGGTTATCAGTATCAACAAGTACCAAAAAAAAATTTAAAATATTGGTACTCGCACTTGGTATGGAAAAAGCGGTATTGGTGCATTCCTAGTTATAAATGTCCGATCGTGTGCACCAAAATATTAAAGAGCTTGTGCCAATGTTCTAATTTAAAAATTGCTCTATAACATCCACTGTTAGCAGTGAGGATGTTATCAGTGACGGTGACATCAGCACTGTACCAAGGAGAGGAGAAGGGGGGGGGGAGCTTCAGTGAGGATCAAATCAAGCATGATCCCAGTGGAAGATTACCTCAGATTTGCCACACAACACAGTAAGTGCACTTGAACCTGGCACACCACTGAGCAACACACTAAATAGGTGTGCGCCTTTTTTTAAAAATGTATTTGTTGCAGAAAGTGATAACTAAGGCAAATTTTTGGGCATGCACCAATCCTTCTACCCCCCCCCACCCACAATATCTATGCGATTGCAGACTGACTAATTTGAACCTTGCCGACCATTTCAAATGCTATGTGTATTTTTTCCAAAAGGTACTTCCTGTTCGAGGTTGACACTGCTGCCTTTCAGGGTCTGCTTTCAAGCACAGCGTTGTCACCGCCCTCTGTGAGCTCCTGTTTGGAACTACAAGTGCGTACGTCGGTAAGTAGTGTGCCATCACTGACCTCCGTTGACGTCAGCAAACTTCCATTCACAGAGCAGAAAAGGGAGCAGTAACAAATGTGAGCCATGTATTCATGAGCTTGTAGTTCTGAGTATATATGGCAAATGCCTCCTGAGTGGGAATGTAATTATCAAAATGGGCAAAGCAAAGGAAACTTCAGGAAAAAAAGTAAGGATAACATGCTTTAATAATAAAAAAGTCTTGCAGTACCTCCACGGACCTGTAGGGCCCCACGATCTAGGCTAGAGGCAGCCAAATTGTGCCCCCCCTCAGCTGGGGTAAAATAAATTCCATCATACATCTACCCCTGGAAGTCATGCCTGTGGCCGTCAGTATTGCAATGCCTTATGGGACTTGTAGTTAAACAGCTGGAAGGCCAAAGTTTGGCTACTCCTGGTCTAGGCCCTCCTGCAGGAGCCCAATACCATAAGAATGTAACTCCTGCATAGTGTTGGACGATCTCCCAGAATGCCATGGCAAGGCCCAGTGAGATCACTGGCGCCCATGGGAAGCAGCTGGAAGGCAAGTTATAAAGATATGCAATATGCATTTTCACTTTTTTAATGGAGGAGCAGGGGGCATTGCGGTGGTGTGTACTGTGTGCAGAGCCGCAATACGGACCAATCACAACGAGCTGCACTCTGCCCGTATAATGCGATGAAACATCACGAGTGATATTTCAATAAAAGTTGCAACGACATTTTTTTTTTTAAAGTGCTGCAACGGAACTGCGACAGCTAATGCACAACGCCAGAGCCTGCGTGTAGTAGGGTGGCCGCTGGTGTGAGTGCAGCCTGATCCCTCAGATTCAGACATTTACAAACACGTATGTAATATTCATGTATGATTTCTCCCTGTGACTCTGGGGGAGGGGACAGGAATCTGCATCACTTGTTTTCAATGATTTATTGTTGTTATATGTACAATGTACCGCAACAGGAACACATGAGCTCATTTACTACGCGAAAGACAAAACACACCGCGCCCCCCCCATATATGTATAACCTGTCCCAGCACGCAGTCCCTGGATCTGAATTGTGACCACCCCAATATATGTATAACCTGTCCCTACACACAGTCCCTGGATCTGAATTGTGACCACCCCAATATATGTATAACCTGTCCCTACACACAGTCCATGGACATGAACTGTGAGTCCCCTTCTCCTCCAATGAATATGTACAAGCTGTCTCCATAGTCCATGAACTGCGAGTCCCCTTCTCCTCCAATGCTTATATGTACAAGCTGTCACCACATAGTCCATGGACCTGAACTGTGAGCCCCCTCCAATGCATATATGTACAAGCTGTCTCCACATAGTCCATGGACCTGAACTGTGAGCCCCCTCCAATGCATATATGTACAAGCTGTCTCCACATAGTCCATGGACCTGAACTGTGAGCCCCCTCCAATGCTTATATGTACAAGCTGTCTCCACATAGTCCATGGACCTGAACTGTGAGTCCCCTTCTCCTCCAATGAATATGTACAAGCTGTCTCCACATAGTCCATGGACCTGAACTGCGAGTCCCCTTCTCCTCCAATGAATATGTACAAGCTGTCTCCACATAGTCCATGGACCTGAACTGTGAGCCCCCTTCTCCTCCAATGAATATGTACAAGCTGTCTCCATAGTCCATGAACTGCGAGTCCCCTTCTCCTCCAATGCATATATGTACAAGCTGTCTCCACATAGTCCATGGACCTGAACTGTGAGCCCCCTCCAATGCTTATATGTACAAGCTGTCTCCACATAGTCCATGGACCTGAACTGTGAGCCCCCTTCTCCTCCAATGAATATGTACAGGCTGTCTCCACATAGTCCATGGACCTGAACTGCGAGTCCCCTTCTCCTCCAATGAATATGTACAAGCTGTCTCCACATAGTCCATGGACCTGAACTGTGAGCCCCCTTCTCCTCCAATGAATATGTACAAGCTGTCTCCATAGTCCATGAACTGCGAGTCCCCTTCTCCTCCAATGCATATATGTACAAGCTGTCTCCACATAGTCCATGGACCTGAACTGTGAGCCCCCTCCAATGCTTATATGTACAAGCTGTCTCCACATAGTCCATGGACCTGAACTGTGAGTCCCCTTCTCCTCCAATGAATATGTACAAGCTGTCTCCACATAGTCCATGGACCTGAACTGCGAGTCCCCTTCTCCTCCAATGAATATGTACAAGCTGTCTCCACATAGTCCATGGACCTGAACTGTGAGCCCCCTTCTCCTCCAATGAATATGTACAAGCTGTCTCCATAGTCCATGAACTGCGAGTCCCCTTCTCCTCCAATGCATATATGTACAAGCTGTCACCACATAGTCAATGGACCTGAACTGTGAGCCCCCTCCAATGCTTATATGTACAAGCTGTCTCCACATAGTCCATGGACCTGAACTGCGAGTCCCCTTCTCCTCCAATGAATATGTACAAGCTGTCTCCACATAGTCCATGGACCTGAACTGTGAGTCCCCTTCTCCTCCAATGAATATGTACAAGCTGTCTCCATAGTCCATGAACTGCGAGTCCCCTTCTCCTCCAATGCTTATATGTACAAGCTGTCACCACATAGTCCATGGACCTGAACTGTGAGCCCCCTTCTCCTCCAATGCATATATGTACAAGCTGTCTCCACATAGTCCATGGACCTGAACTGTGAGCCCCCTCCAATGCTAATATGTACAAGCTGTCTCCACATAGTCCATGGACCTGAACTGTGAGTCCCCTTCTCCTCCAATGAATATGTACAAGCTGTCTCCACATAGTCCATGGACCTGAACTGTGAGTCCCCTTCTCCTCCAATGAATATGTACAGGCTGTCTCCACATAGTCCATGGACCTGAACTGCGAGTCCCCTTCTCCTCCAATGAATATGTACAAGCTGTCTCCACATAGTCCATGGACCTGAACTGTGAGCCCCCTTCTCCTCCAATGAATATGTACAAGCTGTCTCCACATAGTCCATGGACCTGAACTGTGAGCCCCCTTCTCCTCCAATGAATATGTACA